GAGAGAGAGAGAGAGAGAGAGAGAGAGAGAGAGAGAGAGAGAGAGAGAGTAAAGAAGTAGAGGAATGACTGCAGGACTCACAAATCGCATGTGATTTACTTTTCCAGCCGGTGCGCTTCTGCAGGGAAAGACAATCCAGTGTGGATCGCAGTCGCGACCGTCACCCAAATAGAGCGCCCAGTCATTATAGCTGTATTTGGGGCAACTTTCAGTCTAGATACAACGATAAGGACCGTGCATTCTATTCCGGTTAAGACGGTAGTCCTTTCTAGGTGGGGTTCTCTCGATTGGCATCTGGTTGCCCCAGGGGTGGGGTATCCCTTCCCGCTGAAAATCTGACGGGCCCAAATTTTTCTCCTCCCCTCTGTGGTTCGCTCCAATTTTTAGAAGCGTCGATTTTTAGTAGGCTCGATTTTTCAGGAGGTAGTGGTGGCACTGCCATCATCATGTCCATGCTTTCGTTTTTTTTTTTCTTTTTTTTCCCTTTCCCTCTGGCACCGGGATCATGTCCGTGCTTTCGATTGAGTGGGAGGAATAGACTGTAGGTGTATTTCTTGAATATATTAAAAAGAAACAAATTGAAAAAGAGAATGAGTTGTGGGGTCGTCGGAGCCGCTGGTGTGCGAAGAGGTGTTACTCTTCAATTTATTTGGGGGGAAAAAAGAGTACTGACTGCAATTTAAACAAGGGTGTGGTGTCCTTCGGGACATCCGTTAAAATTGGAACGATACAGAGAATGAAGATTAGCATGGCCCCTGCGCAAGGATGACCAAGCATAAATCGAGATATGGTCCAAATTAAAAAATAAAAATAAAAAAAATGAACAAGGGTGTGGTCAGGTATTTATCGTCGTTGGAATCTGTTGTGACTGTTGAAGAGCAAGAGGCTCGTAATGGAAACTGGCTTAATGCTGCCAGGATAGATCCGGGTTGAATTGTGAGGTCCCCGGCCTCAGTTTTTTTTTTTGCAATATATGAAGACTAGGTGTTCATTGGGAAAAAACAAAAAACAAAAACAAGGGTGTGGATTGCACTCGTGGGAAAGAAAATGCATTTGATTTGGAATTTGTTATTATTTTTAACTTAATGGGAAGTACATTGGTGGTACCTGAATTTATTATGAAATTAATTTTGAAATTTAGGCTGAATTTTGTTCCGAAATTCGCCTGTGGTTTCATTTCATTTAGAGTTGGCTGAATTGAATCGTCATGGTCTTCCAAATTCCAATTTGATTAAAATCCCCCACAGCTGGCCACGCATATGTGACTTGTTTTACCGGCACTTGAGATCAGCTTGTGGCGGATTACTGACAGGGAGCTATTGAGAGAGAGAGAGAGAGAGAGAGAGAGAGAGAGAGAGAGAGAGAGAGAGAGAGAGAGAGAGAGAGAGAGAGAGAGAGATGGCTCGCCATTCTTGGGAGTGGTTGTGCATCAGGGATCTATATTGGTTGCAACAGTGCACGTGATGGTGTGATGGTGCTGAATCTGTGGATCCCCTGTATTTTCTTCTTATCTTATCGTATCTCAAACCACTACGGAGTTCACACTACGGTCCCGGTAATTATCGCCGTATCTGGGCTGAAAGTTGTGCCAAAAATACAGCTATAATGACCGGGCGTTCTATTCGGGCGTGAAGACGGTAGCTTAAGTTGACAAAGCTAACTTCCATGGCTCACTAGCCTGCAAGTGCTTCTTTTCAAAGTGGCCTGCCACTTTCGCTACTGGCCCAACCCCGAATCGAAATGCGGCTCTTATTGCGTCTACCGTGTGTACCAGTAGAGCATTACCTAGGTTTGTGTGAACTGGTGTAACTAATCCTTTTGATTTGTTCGTTAATTTGGGCTTACTTTGTGGGAACTGTGAATGTTTTGTGGATCTTATCTGGTCTTACTGTTTGTTTGTTTGATTGTTTGTTCCTATATTATGTCGTTGCTTTTTGTTTTGTGGATTATGCATCCTGGTGCGAAAAGGGATGCATGGAATAAATTAGGCGACATGAAAGAGGAGGAAGCCATGGCCAAGTACGTGGATGTGCTGACGTTAGTCAATTCAGGCTGGCGTTCACTAGTCGCTGCCAGGGAGGTGAGTGGTTCTATCACTGAAGTTTCACAGGTGTAAATGACATGCATCTTGCTCTGTTGCAGTGGTTAGGAGCTCTTTGTTCCCCTCTGTGTGCACGCCCCTTGGGCGTGTGCTCTGTGTGTGTGTATGGAGAGAGAGAGAGAGAGAGAGAGAG